CCGGGCGTCTCTCCGCCGGGGGTCCGCGGAGCTGCGGGGCTCACCCGGCGCTGCTCCCGGCAGCAGGTCACTGCCCCGATAAGTGCTTTACCCGACTGGTTCATCTTCCAGGGTTTTGCAGCCTGGTTCGTTACAACAAATGCTTATCACAGATGCTTCAGGCGCGCTTACAGGTCTTGATAAAGGTTTATGGCGTTTGATAACAAGTTCCTGGACCAAACTCTATTTTAAATAATTGTAGGACATGTCTAACATATACTATATAGCATTGTAGGCTAAATGTCAGCTAGCAAAAAAAAAAAAAAAAGAACCTCTGCCAGCTGTAACTGCTGTAACTCTTCACAGCTGAGGAGAAGAGTGGGTCAAGAGGGGCAGGGCAAGAAGTCAAGGTTACATTTTTTTCCCCCCGTTGTATTATTAAATAAAGACTTTGCCAACTGTTACAAAAAACTGCTAGAAGAAAAATGGCTATAATTAAAATGTTGCTAGGAACTGTTGTCAAAGAATGTGGATTTTGGGTTTAAAAATGAAGTCCTAGAAGTATCTTTAAAGTTTTGTGTTTTCTCCTTTTCCATTTTAAGAGTACCTACAAAGTATTTTTTTTGGACCTTATTGCCTAGAAGGCTCTTGATTGGACTAGAAAGTAATGCGGTTTGGAGGCAGGGGTTTATCAGGTTAATTTGATAATAAACTGTAAGTCTTAATCTGCTTTCAGAGTTGTATGTTATTTGAAAAAGGAGTGGGACATAAAGGGAGTTAGAAGAAAAATCATGATTTTTTTTTTTTCTTTGAGTGAATTGCTATAACTAATGTTGGACTTGTTTAATCTGGTGACAATTGTGTGTAGCTGTTACATAACCACTTTGTTGATTACTAAGTCTTGAATCAAAATGCAGTAGATAAGCTTTAAAAAGGATCTGTATTAAAAAAAATCATACTGTAAACAAAGGTGATGGCTTATGTGACTTAATAGAAATAATTTTTAAATCTTTTATTTAATAAAAGTGCAGTTAATCATCATTTTGGAATCAGGGAAGAACGGAGACCAAATACTTGTCATTGATGATGTTTTTTCCTCTTCCTCCTGCCGTGATTTTCTGGGGTAATTAGGATCGCAATCTGAGCTTTTCAGTGCTGAGTGGTTTTGCTTTATTGAGAGGAAAAAAAACCAGCCTTCACCACTCCACAAAATTTCTCTGGCATTAATTAAATGCTTTATGATTGAATGAGCCACAAATATTTCAGCTGTCTGGTTGCTGAAATGATTCTTAGTGGGATTCATTCAGGATAGACAAGGGTTATCCTCTTTGCAAAGTGTGTTCAGCCAGGTACCACAAGGGAATGCGTGATTTAAGCTCCTTTGAATATGCTGCTTCAGTCAGTGTCTGGGCAGGAGTAGGAATTTGGCATCTACCAGAGATGTGGGTGAATGTGTCTGGCTTCATGTCTGTTGGATCTGTTATAATCAGTTTCTATTTGTAGTGAACGAGTTCCTGATTTATACATGTTAATATCTGCAAAGCCTGTTACAATTAGAGTTTGAATTGAATTGATAGAGGGTACTTTACTTACTTCAGCGTTCAGTAAATTACACAGCAGGTGCTGAAGCAGGGAAATACTGTTTTGCTTTGTGGTCTAAATGGTGACAATTGACTGGACTACTGACAATTTGAGGTAAAATGTAATGTTCTTCCTTTTTTTTTCCAGTTTGGTGGAAGGTAAGGAGGCATTGCAGTTGTGCTCCTATTTGGTCTGCTCAGAGTGAGGGCAATATTGCTTCCCAGTGAATCAAGGACATTGCGTTACATAGACAGGGCTATAAAAGGCCAATCTGCTTTTGTATCGAGGCCTCTCCGCTATAATCAGCTTACGCTCCATTTGCTCAGTATACCAAGCAAACCTGCTGTGACAGTGTTTGTATAGTGTCTTATTCACACTGTCCTTTTAAAAGTTGAAGGACTGCTTCGCCACATGCCCACCTACTGTGCTGGCATTGCTGTATATGTAACAGTTTTCCAACAGCTATTTCCTTCTCTGATTTTCTGAACAACAGTTGATCCCTGTGTATTCGAGCCAGAATTATGGGATTGTTTGACAAGCTAGCGGGATGGCTTGGGCTGAAGAAAAAGGAGGTTCATGTTTTGTGCCTTGGCTTGGACAATAGCGGCAAAACAACAATCATAAATAAACTTAAGCCTTCAAATGTAAGTAACCCACTTAGTTAACTGTTGGTGTGTTTACTGCAAAATTGATGTTTATTTAAGCTGTTTTTGTGTGCTGTTATACTAAATGTGACCATGGAAAAGATGTGAAGAGCTTTTTGATTTAGTACACTGGAACAAACTTATTTTAAGAGTTTCCAACTAACTTAAATTAAATGTAAGCATCCATATGCATGTTATGAAAACATTTACCAAAACCCCACTGTTAATGTGGCACATATTTTCTAAAATTACCCAATAAAGAAGGGTTTATGATGGCTGAAATTGGGATCTGAAGCAGTTTTCTTAAGTCACTTAAATAATTGCAACAGGATTGCAATTATGGGTGATGTGTTGAACATTTGGGATTAATACAGTTGTATAACAACTTACATTTGTCTGCATTTATCAGGTTTATTTTTAATATTTTCCTGAGAAAATATATTCCTGAGAAAGAATAAGTATATAATAAAATAGGAAATAATGAGAAGATGCACACTTAATGGTGACTTCAGCATTTTTAAAACAGAATAGCTTTCAAAATAAGTAGTATTTATACTTGCAGTTCTTTCATCCAGTGAAAAGTGTTTTTTCAGGCCACTAGGAGTGCTTAGCATTTTGTGCAAAATTTAAAGTAGGATTACCTTGTTTCTAGGTATGTTTATGGAATAGAAACAGATGAATTTTGGTAGGTATGTTCAAAGCCAGAGGCTTGTGCCATCTGGGTTATATGTAGCTGAGATACTGCAGTTTCTGGTCTTTACATCAGTTTTTTAACTTCCATTGAACTTTTCCTGCAGAGTACCACTGGACATTGTTTAAAAATGTAACTTGGTAAAGAGTCTGCTACTCTTCCATTCCTACCAATTATTCTTTTACTGAAAATTAAATAGATTTATGAACAAAGACTATGGTTAGTATTTGTTGCCACTCCTTTGGGGGAAATGCTACAATTTGTACCAGGCAAATTATATATTTATGTAATTTCCGAGACCTTCATTGTAGCAGGGCTTTTATGTCATACCTTGAGCAACAGAGGATTCCTAACTAGAGCTGAACACATGCTTCAAGATTTATCACAATAATAGGCGTTAGAGAGGGTCCCAAGGGAATTACACAAGTAGAATAAGTATAATTTGTTTGGTTTACTGTAAATTGTGTATTGAGAATTTACTTCTGAATGTTTTCATTTAATGTGATGCTTTAGGAGAGTAGCTTTGCATACAACTTGTGTAAGTCCTTGCAAGACATGACAAATTCTCTAATGTGCAACAAATGTCATTAGATCAGACTCGATCAAGTTGTTTATTTTTAGCAAGTTCAACAGACAGATAATTTTGAGCTCTGGATCAACCCAGTCTTCTTAAGAAGAACTGCTACTTTGCCCTAGGAGCAATATCACAGAATCGCAGACTGGTAGGGGTTGGAAGGGACCTCTGGAGACTGTCTAGTCCAACCCCCCTGCTAGAGCAGCTGGCTGACAAATACAAGTGTTTCTCCATCTGTTTGCAGTTGTTTCTTCTGGGCCTGATTAATACATTTGAAACAAATGTTAAAAAAAATAACACCTCTTCTACTCTGCGCAAATTTTCCCTTGTTGGCAGGAGCTGTTGACCAACCTGTTTACGATGGTGGAAAGCTATTTTCATAACGAAGCTGCAGGAGAGCAAGCTAAGCTTGCTTCAGTTGGATGCGAGGAGTCAACTCCTTATAGATAATGTTTTTAATAAGGGGCTCTAGAAAGTCTGTAAAAGGATTGCATGTCACTTTCTCAGACAGCTCTGTAATCTAAGGAATGTGACCTTTCTCCCTGCTCAAGATCGATGCTTCTTAAAGGAGCTATTCTGTTCTACCAACTTAGGCAATAGGTTCCTCGGCTAGCTCAGCAGTAAACCTGGTTATCAGATCTATTAATAATGCTTGATGTTTTGGCCATTCCTCTGCGGTAAATGGTGATTCCTTCCAGTGGTCTGGTAGCTTGAATAGAGCTATGGTTAGGCCACTGCGTAATGTCTGCTGTGTAATTCCCAACGTCAAATAGACTTCTGCAGCCTGTTGATAGACGCTGGGAGTATGGCCAATGTAATATCTTGATAGAAGTATACCCTCTTTTATCTAAGAGGTTTCTGGTATTGTGCAGGCTTGTTTGGGTTGATATTGTGATTTCCAATGTGCACAAATATCGTGAACTTTGATCTCAGTCATTATGTTCAAGCTGTTATCTTCCGTGTTAACCTATTTCTTATGTATTTCATAGGTAATATCAACACATACGTGTGCACACAGACTCATGTAAAGGGTGGAATATCATTCTTAAGGCTAAAATGTCTTCATGTTCTTGTCCAATAGCATTCACTGTATTTCCTAGAAAATAGAAACCCTTGACTTGGAATTACTGTACTTTTCTGGGAACTTTTTTAATATAAAGTATTTGGATTTGTAGAAAGCTTTTGTATTGCACTTTGGGGAAAAATAGATCTGTAATGCATTCATGTTTCAAATACATTTCAATATTTACATTTTCTAATTTTATTGTAAAATTTGTACTTTCTTTCCTTTAAAGGCTCAAACTCAGGACATCGTTCCGACAATAGGATTCAGTATAGAGAAATTCAAGACATCGAGGTAGCAGTTTCTTTCATTTTTGTCCATTTAGCAGTAGTAATTAATACACAATAGTTGGACTTAATTGCCTCTTTCAGTGGGATATAACTGAGTATAATGTGTGGTGGTATAATGACACGACATGCCATTTGCTGAAATGTTGTAGTACCTGAGAGCCCTAATTGTGATTTAGGACTGACAGTGGTAGAATATATTGTATGTTTTGTGCTGCTATAAAACTATGTTTTAAAAAAAAAAAAAAAGTTTTGCAATAGTGTGTATAAGCACTTGATTTCTGTCTTTTAAGAATTCCAGAATAGGGCACTGTTACAGACTGGAGGAGAGACAGTTGCTTAGATGGTAACCTATATTCCATTAAACACTCTCACTGGAGGGACTCTGAAGAGATTGCAGTCTAATCTCATTAAATGAAAAATGGTGGCTACAGCATTAGCAATGTAAAGATGGCAAGGGCAAAGGTCAGGAAAAGGAGAAAGAAATAATTAGTTGCATGAAGGCTAAGATTTAGAAAAGGAATGTCATGAGACAAAGGTACTTCACAGAGATAACATTAGATACTATTTTATTATTCTGTAGCATTCACAGTGTATTTTAATGGGTGCAATCAGTCTTCAAGCAGCATGCCCCACTGGATGAGAGATCTGCAAGAAAATTGTTTATTCCTTGAGCTGATGTGTGAGATTGGTAGGTTTTATATTTTTATAGGAGGCTCAACAACTGTATTCTTGTCTCAGTAAAGCACTTAAGACAGGTTTGGGGTTTGGTTGCGTAAGAATGTAAATCGATTTATATTACTTTCCTTTATTCTGAGCCTGTAGTAGGAGAGATGACCTGCAAATACGCCATGTAGACTGATTTAAAAAACAAACACCCTAAAACCTCAATAATCTAACGTTACAATAAAAACATTGTTTGAGGGTTGCTAATAACTTTATACATGACAGAGCAGCTAGTCTAGAATCAGATGATGTCTAACTATAGAGTGGAAAGGATGTTTGGAGAAGCTTCCTTTTCTAAACCTCATTTAGGTGTGGCCTCCACTCAGGGAGCTATTTGGGACTACCCAAACCAGGAGGGTCTAATACTGAAGTCGATATTGCCTCTGTAGACATTTCAAGAGTGGATCGGAATTTTTTGTAAGGTACTTTAAGTTGACTTGCTGTATTTAGTGTTTGGTGAAATCTCAAAGTTGCAAAGACTACACTTTTTAGCTTGGTCACCTGAGGTAACCTGTTTTTACCAGAATGTGATTTTTTTTTCTAAAGGTGTATTTATTTATTAAGCCTTTTATTTTGCATACAGAAGCCTTTGGATATTATTGGTGCCTGTCTAGGGACAGAATTTAAGACAGGCTGTGGATTTAAAGTCATGGCTCATCTGAATTTCATTTACTCAACATCATAAACGATATTTGATACTAATAGGATAAAAAGAGAGGCTGAATGCGAGCTTATTTTGTATTTGATGTAATTTTTTTATAATTGGTTTAGCTCTTTTATTCAGAGAATAAACAAACGCATTTTCCATTGTGAAATATTTCTGTAAGATTGCAAAACTGGGTAAGATAGTTTGAAGGCAAACAGAATAACCAGAGCTCCTTTGGGAATCTTTCTCAGTTGATTAGGATTCAAGTTGATCTGGCTTTTTTCTATCAGGATAGCAAAGAAAATAGTTTGGGTTTTGTTCTTTGTTTCTGTGCCTCACATGCTTCTCTTTGCAGTTTGTCTTTCACAGTGTTTGATATGTCAGGTCAAGGGAGATACAGAAACCTCTGGGAACATTACTACAAGTAAGCCTATCATTTATTTTAAAGCATTGCTGTTCATATTAGCTTTCGTGTATGTTATTTAAACAGAATTATGATAATATCTAGTGGTTAGAAATGATTCAGAGAAGACTTACACCTGGTGTTTGACAGAAGGTCATTCTGGATAAATACAACTCTTCTTAACTCTTCTAAAAAATGAAAATTTTTATATGCTGTTAATCAGCATGCTCTTGGGGACATCTTGCTGACTCAAAGACTGGGGGAGCACACTAGAGATGGGATTTAAATGTTGAAACCTGAATCATAGAACCATTTTGGTTGGAAAAGACTTTTAAGATCATTGAGTCCAACTGTTAACGTAGCACTGCCAAGTCCATCACTAAACCATGTCCCTAAGCACCGCATCTACGTGTGTTTTAAATACCTCCAGGGATGGTGAATCAACCACTTCTCCGGGCAGCCTGTTCCAGTGCTTGATAACCCTTTCAGTGAAGAAATTTTTTCCTAATATCCAATCTAAACTTCCCCTGTCACAACTGGAGGCCATTTCCTCCTGTCTATCTCTTGTTACTTGGAAGAAGAGACCAACAGCCTCCTGACTACAACCTCCTTTCAGGGAGTTGTAGAGAGCGATAAGGTCTCCCCTCAGCCTCCTTTTCTCCAGGCACTAAACAACCCCAGTTCCCTCAGCTGCTCCTTATAAGACTTGATCTGTAGACCCTTCACCAGCTTCATTGCCCGTCTTTGCACGTGCTCCAGCACCTCAATGGCTTTCTTGTAGTGAGCGGCCCAAAACTGAACACAGTGTTCAGGTGCAGCCTCACCAGAGCTGAGTACAGGGGGACAATTTCTTCCCTAGTCCTGCTGACCACACTATTTCTGATACTGAAAACCAATCCTGTATGAAAGCATCAAGATGAGTTAGGTTTCCTATTTTTCTGTTCTTCTGTAGGTAAGTGACTTAAGATCCAAAACATGTTGACTAGTGGCTGAGATTTTTATAGGTGATGGAAATTAACCTCAGTGAATGAGGCACATGTAACTAAGAACTTGACCAAGTATTCTTAGATGTTATTAAGCAGGATATTAACTGAGCTTTATAAGACTATGGTATTGCCTTATTGGTAATAGACACCATTTTCTGTTCTTCCAGCTTCTAATGAAACTTGAGTCTTCATTTCTGTTGTCTCATTGTTATTCTGTAATACCTGATGCTGATCTAAATAAGATGAACAGTAGTAAACCACACAGAAATCGCTTGGAGAAATTCTGAAGATTATAATATTGATTAAATATTAATATTTAATGTGATAGGTCTTAAAGTATTCTTTAGTTGAGGATTAACACTTCATCTCCTTTCTGTGCAAAACATTTGTTAGCAATTTGAAAACTCGTTGTATGGGTACATCTTCATTGTTCAAGTGTTAGATGTATGTCTCCCAAATCTTTTGGATTTCAATAACTGATGGCCTTAGGCTGCTCTCAAAATGCTAGCCAAGTACTTCATACACAAATAATTTTTTCTTACTGTTGTATTTAATGCAGTAACGTATCCCTTGTGTGGCATAAATGGCTTTTTTCATCTTCACAGTAAGGGAGTTTCTTAGGTAATGCTGACAGTGAAATGTGCACTTGTATCTGACTCTTCCTGATCCAGTGCAGTAGTCACACATTTAAGATTAACTTCTAAGAATGATATAAAAATAATAATAATATGCTGTTCAGTTTATAATAAAGTTAAGCAACATTTAATTTTGCAAGAATTGTAAAATGGCAATCAAATCTGATCAAGTATCTGTGTCTAAGTAGTTGCTTCAAAGTACTTGAAGCTTGCCCTTTCCTTCTGTTTGGCTTGAAACTATCTTCTAGGATGTCCTCAAAGTACGGTTGTCTTAAATAGATGTAAACTCATGTTGTGTCCCTATTGCTGTTACTTGTTTGTGAAGTTATTTTTTGTTAGTAAATGCATGCTAGGACGCTGATTCCTCTAGAAAAATACTGTATGATCATAAAACGTACTTCGGTATTCTCAGCTATTATGCAAAAGCTTTATTTGCTGTTAAAGTTCTTTTTTACACTAGAAAAGAATGGACCTTCTCATACTATCTTAGGCTGGTCAAGCTATTCCTGGTTTTCAGTAGGTCTAGGACCGATTCTTATCAACGTAGATGGTGCTGAGGGGTGAAGAATATATCCGTAATTGTGTCTCAGAGAAATGTAAAATGAAGGAGAAGTGAATATTACAGTAAAATGTAAATTAAAAATACTTTTAGTGGATGTTTAACTGTTCATCTGAATTTGTCAGACTTTATTTTGCTTTCAAATGAGTTTCAGTAAATGGAACATCAAGTCATAAAATGTCAGTAATACCCTGAAATAGTGAGTTGAATAGTTGTATATATGTTGTGACTGTGGTTATATTGCCAGCAAAATGTCTTAATGATTTGAAATAGTTGAGTTTTTACCCATTATTCAAAACAAAAGAAAGATTCTGTTTATGCAGACTTTTGTAGAAGTTAAATTAATCTGCATATGCCTAGTTTTTTTTTTTCTAAAAAGATAGTTGATCTTTCTCTAAATAAACTTGTTTTAGTGTAGGAAATACAGAATTTCTACAAAAACCCATCTTGAGGTTTTCTTTGTCTGTCTGACCATGCTGTCAGAATAGCAGTTAGTTACATTTTCAGAGTTCATTTTTCAGCCTCAGTGGTGAAAACAAGCTTTTCTGAAGGGTCTGTGTAGACTGAACCTTGTATGAGTTACGTAGCTAACAACTTCATATCTCAAAAATTATGCAGGTTACCAAAAGATTGAATTTCAGAAATAAGACTGGATTCAAATGTTAATGGTAAATAAAAAAAAATAAAATTAAAAAAAGGAAAAAAAACAGGTTTGTTTGCTTTTTTTTGGTGTTTCTTCTGAAGCCTTTTCTTAATCACAGTTTAAGAGAACCTATAATTTGCCTCTTTGCTCTTTTTATGTTATGCAGAGAAGGCCAAGCCATTATTTTTGTCATTGATAGCAGTGACAAATTAAGAATGGTTGTGGCCAAAGAAGAACTTGACACCCTTCTGAATCATCCAGGTGAGGAGGCTTTTTTCCCCTTCTGTCTCCATATTTGTTATGTTGTCTTAACAAAAGTCCTTATCTGACACGTTCTGCATTCTGAGTACTCTGCAAATATTTTAGCCATTCATGAATACTAGAACAATAACAGTCTTCAATAAACTTGGGAGGGCTTTTATACCTATTTATGTTTACAAACTGATCATACTTCAGTTTGCTACACTGAGCTGGATTGGTCTCTTATTAATCAATATAGATTAAAAGTTCCATTGTTTTGAGGAAGAGTAGACTTTTACCTGTTGGAAGCTGGAGAGCCCGTATGTGATGAAGAACAGACAAAAAAACGTATCTCTCTGTCTGGAATTAGCTGTCATGAAGACAGCTAATTCCTTTAATGTAACTTTTATTTTTTTTCTTTCATCATCATCATCTTTCTTTTTATTATGCTTTAGTCAGAAATAAGGATGGATAATTATACCAGCCAGTTTCAATTGCCTATGAAAGGATATGGGATGGCAGAGGATATGACAGGATTCATGATCGGGGCGGGGGGGTTGGTTTGATTTGGTTTTTTACATGAGGCTAGACTTGTTTAATTTCTGAGATCAGTCAATTCTTTCCTTCTTTGCCCTTCCATATAACCAAGTTTACTGGAATGTTTTTGTAAGCAATATGCAATTTTGAATTTGACTTTCAGCACTGTAGGTGGTTGCTCTGATTAAACAGAGTATAAAACTACCTGCAGGAAATTTAAAACTGAAATAATCCTGTAATTTCTTATTTTTTAAGCTGCTAGAACCTTGACTTGTGGGGCTGAAAGTAAGAAGCAGCTGACTTGCCTTTCTAACCAGGAAAAGTAGTATGTGAGAGGGGCAATTACGTTACTATGATTTTATTTTACATTCAGACTGCATATAACACATTAGGTCATCAACAAAGATGCTGTAGCTGAGTGTGTGTGAGTTGACTGGGCCCTCTTCATTTCAAGTTCAAGGCTATGGGCCACTTCAGACGTGGACACTGAAAAGACAGTCTTGCAAGGGTCAGAGGGGAGGCTGAGGTGAATGGAAGGCTGCAGGTGGATTATATGGAGGTCAGGGAACTTTGTACCAAAGCAGGTATTAACCACAGCGGTAAAAGGTGATTCTGCTGGTAAAATGGAAACCACATAGGACCAACAGTGGGAGGTAGAGTGCTGTAATAAGTTACTGGTTTAGTAGAAGGCAAAAGAGTGAAAATGTTAAAGACTGAGGAGATGCAAGCTTAGGTGGGGCTTTTATTTAGGCATTAATAGGTTATTAATTAGCAGTAATTAATCTAGCAGTTCAGCACTGTTCAGCTGTTGATGTGTTTGTGTCTTCTCGTTCTGAAAGAGAAGAATGTACCACCTGGTACATTCCCTAGAACCAGGAAAGGGCAGTTTTGTATTTCTGTCTTGGAGCAGCTCGGCTCAAATACAGCAACAGTGTTTTATTGGTTTGGATTTTGATAGGTCACATCCAAGAGAACCAGAGAGAAGAAAAAGTTCCTCTAGTAGTAATGTTTGATAAATGGAGCTGTCACCTGAATCAATATGAAACTGGTTTATTGTATCAATATTTTAATTTGTATTACTGTTCCGCTTTTCTTCCTGCATACCGTACTTTCTCCCCATCTATGCTTCTGCCTCTGTGAACCTCCTGGAGTGGTATAAATGTGCATGTTTCCTTAAGGTTTAAATGGATGCAGGGTAACAACCTTGAATCAGGTCCTGTTTCTGAAAATCTTAGCAATCCTTCAGTAAAACAGTAAAATCCATCTCTTTTTGCCAGACTTTGCCTGATGTTGTCAGGTGAAGGGGAATATGTACTGTGCAGCATTAATGGGGTTAGAACTTGTATGAGCTGGGACTATTTTGTGAATCAGAACTATAGATTATTTTTACTTACGTAAGTGGACAATGCACTGTACAAATAACGGCTTGTTTAATGATCACTGTTACCATTTCTTTTAACCAAATGTCATTCTTCAGCATTTTGCAAAACCATAGTCTGTAGATAACTGGTCAGATGATTAGTGTCTTTTAGATATTGACTCTTGGGTCACTTGACCTCCAGCACATGCTTCTAAATAAACTGAAATTCCTGTAAATTTGAAAATCTTTGTATAAAATTACATATCACACATATCACACATCTAGCATCTGGGATTTTCTTTAATATGTTAACTCATAACTACTTGCAACTAGAAAATGGTAGCTTTCCATTAATAACTGTAAAAACTGGGGGGGCATGTGGAAATACTGCATAGTAGGAAACAATGTCATAAGTTAGGAAATAATATACATTTCTGTGACCACCACTTTACACTTAAAAATGTTTGCTAAATACATTTGTAAGTCCATGTGGGTAGGTTGTGCCCCCTTTAATTGCTTTAAAAAAAAACACTGAAAATTACTTGATTAACGTAGCTGTTTGCATATGTGATATCAACTAATTTCTGTGGTTTTAACTTATCCATAACCTGCAACCTGTGGGTACCAGGGTTCATTTAATTATACTGTAGATTAATGTAGAAGTTTCAGTCAGGAGACACAAAAGCTGTTCAACTATCAAATCAAACCAGATATTTAATGATACTCTCTGCTTGTATTTTGAGGCCTTTGATTTGTGTTAGAAGATATCAGAGGAAAAAATAGCTCCAGACAGAGTAAATAGTTGTGAAAATTGTCAGCGTTTTGGTCAGCACTCATGATCTCCAAGTATGGGTACGTAGTGTTATCTCCACTGATTTTGTGGAACGGTTCAGTAGGGGCTTTGTAAAGAACATAATTAGAAAGGTTCAAACCACTTCAGCATTGACAGTTTGTTGGGTTTTTGGTTTTGCTGTTTCCAGCAAGGACAGCTGGCTTATGTTTCAAGTAAATAAATCCTTAGCTTATTTCCCATATGAAATAACCTTTTCTTTTTCCTATTAAAAAAAAAAAGGCCTGTATAGCAATTTTCATCATAGAGGAGTTTTTAAGTTCTTTTCCCATCAAGAATTGATTGATGGCCTCAAATCTAGATTTTCTCTAATCCTGTAATTCATCCTTTGTTTACATAATGTGAAAAATTCTTACAGTTAGTCTTGGTGCAGGTAATTTGTTGGCAGCTTTAGATCTATCAGGTTGAAGACAGTACACTTTGTTTCCTGTGGTAATCAGCGAGGCTTATGCTTATGAATATGTAAGTATGCCAGAAATTGCCAGTGTACTTGGTTTGGTCTGTAGTTCTCACTGCTAGCCCAGAAGAGCTTCTGGAAAAGAAATCCTTGTTCAGGTGAAGGTGGGGTAAGGGATGTCCAGATTTGCCTTTTTTTCCAATTTCGTGAATTTTATGAAGTCATAGATGCTCTCCAGGATGCTAAAGGCTAATTCAGATAACCCTTAAGCAACTATTGTTGTGCGGTTATGAATGAACACAAATCATTTTTCTGTTCATTTTACACATCCAGTCCTCACTAAGCAGAGATGTGTAGTAAATACACATCCGTAGGCAATTGTTTGATCTCCTGTTCTGCAGCTTCACCAGCAATTTATACCTACAGCTTTAAATGTATGTATAAGGTAGGAGGAGAGGGGGTGGAAGATCCCAAAGCCTGCCAGAAAGAAAGTTTGTGAGCGTTCTTGAAGCATGCATCAGAGGCCAGGTGACCCAACAGTCTGCATCTTGGTAGGATACAACCTTCAGAGAATTGCCATTACAGGTGAGCAAAATCTCTGCCTTTATTGTTTGTACCTTATTACTCATAGAGATTAGTAAGTGTTACACAATATTATGAGAGTTCTATTTCTGCTCATGCCTAGATATTAAGCACCGTCGACTGCCTATTCTCTTCTTTGCTAACAAGATGGACCTCAGGGAAGCAATATCATCAGTGAAAGTATCCCAGTTACTGTCATTAGAAAACATCAAAGACAAGCCCTGGCATATCTGGTAAATTTCCCTTTTTCTGCCCTTTTATTGGTATTATTTAGTACATTCATAATTTAGCTCTATCATGCCACTCAATATTATATAACATAAATTAAATCACCCAGATAAAATATCGTGCTGCGACATGTGGAAACGGTAGTAATATTGCAGTACTTGCTATGAAACTTGTTTTAAAGGCACAGTGCATTCATGCAGACTGTGTCTTGAAAATTTTCATAATAGACCCGTTACCCAAATAATGAAATGGAGGACTTCCAGTGAAATCAGAAGGCAGTGTTCTTATCAGAAGAATAGCTGCTATTATTTTTTGCTGGGAAATTGAGTAGAATTGTTATCAGAGTGCTGCTGCTAATTTGTCTTGCAGGTTTCAGAATATCAACAATAAAACTTTTAGAGTTGTTTTTTCCCACTCTGCAGATGCTTTAGTAAACTACTGTTGAAAGGCCATTTAGTAAACTGTTCTCACGTGAATTCAGAGAGACACCATACTCTTTGTACCGTATAAGGTTTGAGGGGTTTTTCAGTTGTAGGATCTAGTGTCTTGTCTTTCTGAAGGATGTAAGCTTTCATATAAATAGAAGGATTTTGTGCCAGTATTCACAAGGAAAAGCTTTCCTTTTATCTGAAGTGTTTCATCGAAGATTTTTGTCTTATTAAAGTCCTCAGATACTATAAATAAAAGTGAAATCAGCAGCTAAATACTGTTGAAAACTACAATTTTCTTTTTAGGCCTTTTAATATTAAACTTGATTGCCTGGGTGTTGTTGTAGGGTCACTGCTTTTTGTCTCAGAAATTACACTGATGAATTCCCGAGCTCCTTGGAAAATAATTTTATAACTAACCACAGTAACAGTCCAGATTCACTGCTGTGCTAGTTTTCATAAGATGCAGAACAAGGGGCCTGTAAACAGTTATAACCCTTGTGATTCAAAAGGTAGATTTACACTGTCCACAGGTAGCTTAATATTAATATACGTTAACAGACAGTCCTAGGGTTGCTGTTACAATGAAGTGTGTACACACTATGCTTTCTTCCTCCAGTATTCCAACATCCTTGCTGTGTATAGCAACTGCATGGGAGGAAGAAAGGTGCTGCTTCATCATTGTTGTAGGTAGTAAACATTTTTATAGCATAGTCTGAGAGAGAGTTGAGGTGCAGCAGAACAAGGTGGCTGCCTTGTGTAGGAGCTTTTCCAGAACCCCTCATGTTCTAGGAATGATTCCTCTGCCTTGAAACTGGAATTAAAATAGATTACATCTTGACATGGTGTTTCCATATTGGGAAGATACTCTAGAATATATCATTTGAGAAGCAGCCTTCTCCATGTGAACAAAATGATGCTACTTTGCAATTCTATAAATTACAAGTATAGTGATGACTCCACTAAAACGAGTATTTTAGAATGTTTTCATAATTTGATTTGTTTCTTTCAGTGCCAGCGATGCTCTTAAAGGAGAAGGATTACAAGAAGGTGTGGATTGGCTCCAAGGTATACAATACGTAATTCTCTTGCTCTATTTTCATTCTGTTAAACTTTTTCATTTTGTAAGGTTTTTTCTTTATTATTTCCTTTGTTTTCTTTCTGTCCACTTCTGTTGTCAGATCAAATTACACAGTGAGTACTGATGCTGTATCTCATATTTGCCTTTCATTTACCTCCTTAATGTACACAAAAGATCGTGTTAGTTTATCTGACAGAAGTTTGTACTATGAAATATTAATGTAGACTCTTGCAAATAGTGTTACACTTTCCTGTAAACAATACTAATACTAGGTGCTCCTGCACTTCAGTTTATTATTGTGGTAGTTCAGTTTATTCTTTCGTTTATTCTTACTGTCCTGCCCCAGTTTTACATAACTTGATGTTATGTATCAGGAAATGGTAAATAAGCGGGCTTAAAAAAAAGTGAAGTACACAGACAAATACACAACTTCAGTTCTTTACTCTAGAGCCAAAATAAGAACAGTTTATGCTATAACGATCATAGCATATGCAGATATTCATTACTACGTAGAAAATATCTGATCCAGCTTAGATGATGTTCTACATACACGTTTTTAATTACAAACTTCGTCTGGATGCTGTATGTCCGTCTGTTGTATGTTGGTAAGGATCTGGTCTCTTTTGTCCTCCCGTGTACTGCTAAATGTATAGAATAGCGAAGTGTGGTGTTGTTTTGGTAGACTCATTCTAATTTTAGCTCCCTAATTTACATTGCTTGCATTGTGACTGTATTAGGTAGCGTAGTGTAATCCGAATCTGCAAGACAGTGTCTCTGTACCGGCGTGTTCTGTGCTGTGGCAGCCGCTAGATGTCAGCGATGCTCCAGGCTCAGCGCCCATAAACTCCTTTCCTTCAAAATACAGATAAATAATAGCCAGCATTGTACCCGATTTAACATATCTCCACTTATCTGTGGATACCAGACTGTCCTTTCCACTTAGAATCCTTACTGCTAATTAGAAACAGATGGGTTATTTTACTGTATTATCACAAAATACAAAAGCACTTGGTCATGTTTTCAGAGGAAGGGCTACTAACCAAAAATAGTCTTTACAAAGAGATTTACGGCCCTACAGAAGAAAAGTGATGCATCCTCCACCATCTAAGAGAGTTCTGTGGTGGGGAACCAGCATCTTACTACTGAGTTTCCTTCACTGCTATGTCCTGTTGTCATAGAGACAGATTCCAAATCGCATACTTTTTCCTAATTTCAGGCATAGTTCTGATTTTGTAGTATTTTCCTGTGATTTTTCAGGGTCTCTGCTCATCTTTGAGGAACCTTCTAAGTTTCAATCCAAATTTCGAGTCGCTGGTTTTATATGTGGCTTTAAGCTACTTAAAAGGATCTCAAATGGTTGTCTATTTTCTGCCAAAATATTTAAGTCGTATATGTAGCTTTTAAGCACAGTAAGCAGGTGCTTCTGCTGTCACTCACTTACATAGCTCTTCATAGCTATTCACTTCTCATGGATTGTTAAACTTCTTAATTTTCTGAGCTGAAGTTCTTCATGGATGGATTTCATCTAAAATAATTTCCTTTATCTTCCTGGCTCAGTGTCCCCAAAAGCTTAGGAGGGGTTGGGTTTAAACTGTATTGTTGCCTAAGCACGTGCAGTTTGGCAGTTATACTTTTCATGGATGAAGACTTTGATATTTCAAGAACAAATTTTTACTATGATTCTCCTCCTTATTCCTAGAGTGCTAGACGGAAATATTTGGAACAACTCTTAACTTAGAGTGGTTCCTAAATCACAGCCTGTAGATGCTATAAAATTCCACAGAGGAAAGGACACCTGGTTAATGAATGCACAGTTCTCCTTGTCAACAGCCTTGACGTGCTTTCCTTAGGTACCTTTTGCAGACCCATTACAGGTAGTTCACAGATCTGGGGTGGCAGGGGCAGAAGGTTTGGGGTTTGTTGTTTTTTTTTCCCTAGTGAAGGCTAAGTTTGTATATTTCCCTATTTTATGATGGAGTTACTGTTGCAACAGTACATCATCAGTATGGTAAAACTAACCTGTTTCACAACAGTTTAAACCCAGCCCATGTTCCCTATTAGTGGGGGAAATTTTGCTGATTTCCACATTTTGTAATGAGGATGCAGTACATTTATGCTAACTAAGGAAATGTTTGAAGTAAATCAAGAAGTGGTAATCAGGCAGCAGTATGAAGTGTGGCTACTGAGAGCAAAGAAATTTTCATGCAAGTTATTAAAAAAAAAAAAAACTTTAAATCCTTTGCTATTGGGGAGTTACTTCATGTGCCATGATGTGGAAGCTGAAACGTGTACACGGAACTGAAATGTGTACTTCATAAAGTAAAATTCCGGGCCTTATTCTCATCAAAGTTACCTTATAAGCCTGAAAAAAGATTAAAATTGAATTGTGTGGAAGAGTCTTCCCGATAATTAGCACCATGTGGGGGAAACAACTTGGCTGTGGAGGAATTTCAGAAATGGATGAGAGCAAGGTGAAAACCTATCTAACTGCATTGTCCCCCATTCTTGTAACCACACCAAAATACCTATTGGTGTAGTTCTGTAACCTGGACAATACTGGGTTGTGTTTTCAAAAAGCAAAATACAGCAAGAATTCATCTTGTGTTAAGACTAACTGTTTCTTTTTATTAACAGATCAGATCCAAGCAATGAAGACATGAGAGATAAATAAAAGATGTATGGCGTTCTTTTAAAATCTTTGTCAGCAGGTGTATGAGGTCCTTGGGAAGGAAGAATGATTTGAAGAAAATGAACAGTTCAGCTAAAATATACTGTGTTGACTTGTTTCCTTTTAGTATCTCTTCCAGGAAAACTGAATGTAGACAACATAGCACCTCAGGCATGCACGTTGATGAATTAAATTGAATCTTGTGACTGGAGAGCATATTTTAAAGAGATTCGTGTTAACAAGAAACATCTGCATTCATTTGAGTTTTAGGTGATAATTAGTCATCAGGAAATGCCCCTCTGTTTTTTTCGGGGGGGACAACTTTTGACCAAATGGGAATATTTATTTTTCCTGCAAAAGAGTACTCAGTTCCTGAAATACAGCTGCATGAGATACCTACTGATTTTAGGTATCCATTTTTAGGTATTTCAGCAATATTTTTATTCTAAAGTTTGATGTTGGGTTTTTAGTAACCATCTATAATAGGCTTCTAGGGGAATATTTTTATTTAAGATACAAGGATTCAAATAGTCAGTGTATTTGTTATAGATGATTGCAGATGTTTTTAAGGAACTGCTTTTAATGACATGTTATGAATTGTTCTTGTGATATACCGTGGTTATATTTGCTTTCCCATCAATAAAACTTCAAATATACAACATGTCATGTTTTGCTTTTTTAACTTAAATATGTTCATTGATGGTCTTTACATCTTAGAGATTTTTTGTTTTCTGTTAGCTTCATTTGTAATGTGTTTGCTCATTTTCCATTGGAAATAGCACTGTATACTGTAATAAAATGGTATCTCTTTTGCCAAGCTTTTCTTTTAATTGCATATATTTGTTACACTTTCTAATAAACTAGACTGGTCTTCCAGATATTTAAGGAGCATAGGGATGAAAGTTATATTTTGGAAACACAGTTAAGGGGCAGTTCCCTAGTTTACTAGATCATTAATACAAAATGTGTCTTTTACTTCTGCTGTGTATAAACTGGTTTACTTTCAAGAATAATTTTGATAAACTTTCTGACTTCAAAAATGTACCATAGGTAACAAATAAAGCCAATGCTAAGAACTTTATTTTTGTCATGCCACCTTTTCCCCTTTAATCCTTTCTCCCTTGCCCAGGAAACAAGCAGACTGGCACTGGGAATGCTGACAACTGTACTTAACTGAGTGATTAGCTGATTCCTGGGGGAGATGTAATATATAGGTCTTGCAGAAGCTTTTTTCCCCCCCTTATTAGCATATAAAACACACAAATGTTCTGTAAGCGTGCCTCCTAGGGCTCCCTTAATAGAGGAATAATTGAAGCAAAAGGACCTGTAAGTCTTACTGAAAGAAATCTTTCTTACAGGATGCTATAATTTTGGTTCAGTTTGTCATTAAAGTGTTTGTCTTTCATGTCTCTTTGTGACACCTTTGGCCTTCTGTCAACTCTGAATCTAAATATCTACACAAAATCAAAGGCAGAAAAATCATATATAATTCTGAGACATTTTTCAAACTGAATTGTGGGGCAGATAACTTTCTGGTTTACTTTGTATTGGATAATACAGCAACAAAAATAATACTTGTTGGATACATCTGCTCAGTGTAATTATTTTGTTATTATTTTGGTTCACTTATATGGCTTATTTAAATGAAACTTTTAATTTTATGTTGGCATTAATTTTTTTTTTCTACCAAAGATAACTTAAGTTCTTGCATAAAATCTCTCTGCATTTCTGACTTTCTTGAATAATCTGGACCTTGATGGCTTTCTGATTATTTTTGTTTATGTTGGACTACAGAGTACTATGTTTGTCTTATGAATTGCCTTTCTATCATGGGAAGCTGTTTGAAACTACTGCTTTGTTCTTCCACCCACAAATCTGAGGAAAGTACCTTATTGTCTTTTTACTTTCTGATGTGGTTAGTAAGCCCTTTTTGAAAAGAGCAGTTAGTTATTCATGTTGATTATTGTTCCCCTTCTTGGTGGGGGTTTTTTGGTTGGTTTTTTTGTTTGTGGGGTTGTTTTCTCTTCAGCAGCTCTTTCTGTTCCTTTCCTACCAGGACACTGGGCTGGACGGAGACCTGTTGGAAGGAGGGGGAATGGGGATAGTCCCATTAGTGAAACACTTGATTTTTTTTTTTTTTTAATCACTGCTTCAGCCATTACTTGTGTCTTGCTTCTAGAACATTTGTGATAGTTCTGTGAACTTAAAACTACCAGAGGTATGTCTGCATGTTTACCTCTCCTTCCCCCGTGGCATACAGGTATAGGTCCCTAGCATACACGGTTACTACAGCCTTGAGTTGCTCTAGCAATGTTGAATTTGGTACAAGGATCATATATTGCACAAAAGCCTCAAGCATCTGTGCAAAAAGGCTTCTTTGGACTTGTTTTCTGAGGGTCCAGTGGCTGTTGGTCTTCAATGCTGTTCTCCCATTGTGTTTAGGATGTTAAAATAAAGTACTAAGTTCTACCTGGGTGCTCCAAGACAGTTTGCATGTACAAGTTCATTGCGCCTTAAGAACAAAGCAGACAAGTTCCTTTGGAGGTTTAAATGAGACTTGCAGAATATTCCCTTTTTTTCCCCTCCATGTTACTATAGGTGTGTGCATTAAGTGGGAACTTGAAAGGCAATAGAGTGACTGAAGGAGCTTCAGAGAGCTTGGTCTTTACGCCTCGCACAATGTTATGTGCTGTTGCTTCTGTACACTAAGCACACTGCCTTCATATATATTTATGAATTTCTTTAAAATATGCCTAGTAATGCTTAAGACTGTAGCATTTTCAGCTGAAACATGAGGCAATCATTCTCACATACAAAGTGTTGCTTTCTATGTCTCTTCTTTACTGAGCGGGGTCTATCAGGTAAACATGTGAATCCTAATTCTTTCTAGCCTTGCCTCTCTGGTCCTCGGGACATGAGTCCATAGGAACTTTTATGTGTTTAACCTGTAGCTACGTGCAGGTATGCTGAGGGTCTGCGTGGCCTGAAGACTCCTGGGCAATTTTCTGTTAAGCAAGTGCAGTTGTAAATGTTAGGATGTAAATGTAATGGATCCTTCTTTTAATCTCAGCCCTCTAACTATAACATGCTTGGGGTTTTTTATTTACTAATAAGACAGATAAGCTGCTGTAGACGTAACAGCTCAGCCGTACTGCTTAGTTGTCTACAGGAAGGCACTCTGATGTAGTAATATGCGGAATGGTAATGTTGCATTTCAGTGCTTCCTTAAAACAGCTGTGGAACCTGCTGTCTCAGAAAGCAGCTTATGCCTTAGAAGCTCTAAACTAGGAAATAATGCTTTGTTAGTAATATGAAATAAAAGTAATGTTGATTCAAAATACTTGTCCTTAAAAACAAACATTTCTTAAAAGTTCTTTAAAAAAAAAAAAAAAAGTAGTTGTTTGGAAAATCACTCTCCTTATGATTAATTTCTGTCATCCATTTCTTTAATTTTTTCTGGCCTGCCTTATTTCTGTTTCACAGAAATCCTTACAAATCTTGCTCCTAAACTTTCTGGTCTGCTCCTTTTAATTTTTGCTGAGTACTTTGTAGTGAAACTTTGAAGCCTCCTTCCCTGTTGTTTCTTCTGAGTAACAAAATAGATAATGAGAGAAGGTCACAGAAGACTGGAATAAAAAAGTAAAAAAGGGGATTTATGAGAAAAGGCTTCAACTCTCTTCTTTCAGAAAGGCCCGAAAACTTTCCTTTTTTATTGTTATTGCACAGCTCATCTTGACTTCTTAAATTGTGAAATGCGCTGTTACTGCGCAGAAGTAATATGTGTACTAGCTAGTCAGAATTCAGGATTTATAATGCTGTCTTATAACAAATGCCAGGTGTTTTTAAGTAATGTTCTGTAACCATACTTTAGTTCTGAGGCTCTGTAGCTCCTGTCACAGTAAGTTACATCATGAAAGCATCTGTGTCAGTGTGAACCAGCACTTTGTAATGAATTTACCAGTGTTCAGTCAGTTGGATTGCTACTTAATTGGCTGAATATTTCTAGCTATATGAAGTTCTTGTTCTCATAAGTACAGTGCATATGTGATAACGTACTGTCCTCTGTCAGAGGATGTCAGGATCTCACCATGCAAATCAGCCATGCTTACTCTTTCCATTCTTCTAATGATAGCATGAAACCCATTCCCACTACTTTGTTTCAAAATCAATCCTTAAAATGAAAGCTAGGCTGTTAATCTCTCTTGTCTACCATTAAATGATCTTACATTTTACAAATTGTCTATCAGAAGATGAACTTAATTGTATTACAATCATATTATTCAGGCACCAACTCACAAGGGAGTGTAAGTAATTTGTCTGTGATTCAGGGGGCACCTTTGAAGATCACGTTAATTTGTTTAATACAAAGTGTTCTCAGTAACGGAAAGAAAAGACAGTAAGGAAAGGGTGGAAGAAATCAAGGAAATTTGGATGTGTGGAAGAAGTTTGTTTGGGCTGAAGTAGAGTCATGCTAATGCTAACAAATATTAAAGAAACCCAAGCCTCTTGAGGCTCAGTGAAGTAACCATGATAAATGATTGAAGTGGGTGCTTGGCAATACGGGCTGCCCAGTAAGGGGAGCAGCCCCATCAAACTGCTTTTGTAGAGCAAGATAGTTGGTGCTGAGGACCTGGTGTCCCCGGTCCCTGTGTTTCTGAGTTTCCTTCAGCCTGGCTCCCTTCTGGCCCTCCAGACTGAGTACTTCTAAGCTGTTGGAGCATGTTAGGTGCACTCTGAGCTTTCCAGCGTGGTTTCATCCAACAAGAATTCAGTTTGTGTGCTCCCAGCCTACTTTGCGAGGTAAACAGAAGTACCGTTAGCGGGGATGATCTTTAAAGTACCCTTGTGACCTGAACTAACGCACTAGTGTAGGCATGCCTGTACAAACTTAAGAGGGGAAACAGTCCCAAAGTTTTAAAACTATGGACTTGAAATTGTAAAAGAATAGCAGAACTTGGCAAGAGGTCTCCAGAGGCCAAGGTTCCCCAGGAATCATTCCATTGAAATATCTAGTAAAAATACAAATTTGTAGTATGGCCCAGTCAAAACTGGGAGAGTTTGTTCCACTAATAAAGGATATAACCATTAGATAGGGATTAAGTTGTAACACTTCCAATTTAGAGGAAATGGCATAATGTGAGCTGTGAAAAATAGGCAGTCAGGAGTAAAAAGAGTTGTTACCCGCTGTTGGGCATCGTTGCTGTTCCTGGTGTAGTCTG